CCCCCAAAAAAAAAAAAAAAGAAGCTGCTAAGGGCATATGCTTACTTGCACTTTCTTGCGTGTATCTGCCGGGAATTACGGTCACATTCAGACCGAAAAGTTGTAATGTGACAATGCCCTGAACGAAATGAAAACCATCCATAGGGTGCTCGTTCAGGGCACGAAAGAGAACCATCTCCCTTGCCACGTCATCTTTTTTTAGATGGATTTTTTTTCTCTTTCCTGTTTTTTTGCTGTTTTTGTCTTTTTTCTTTCCTGGTTGAATTTTTGCGCAGAGGTCATGCTAATTTTCTGTGCATCAAGAATAAATAAATAAATAAATAAACTGTCTGCATCGTTCCAATTGTGACCGATGTCCCGAAGGACACTACAGGTACCGTCTTCACCCGAATAGAACGCCCAGTCATTATAGCCGTATTTCGCGCAACTTCCAGTCTAGATACATCCATAATTACCGGGCGTTCTATCCCGGTGAAGACGGTAGTGAAGTAGCATACGGGTTCGTTTTGGAAATGACACGTCAGCTATCACACCGCGCTGAACGCCCGTATCTCGTGCAACTTTCGGTCTAGATACCGCCATAATTACCGGACGTGGAAGTTGACGTGTCATTTCCAAAGTGATCCGCCATGATGTATTCCTCTTGTAAAAGTGACGTGGCAAGGCAGGTGGTCCTTTTTTGTTTGCTAGGGGGTATAGAGGGAAAGGGAGGTAAAAAAAAAAAAAAAAAAACCCTACTCCTGTTATTCGTTTCGGTTGAAAATGACACGTCAGCTTTTGGAAAGTACCAAAAAAAATAAAAAAAATGGAGGGAAAAGGAGGTGGTCCTCCGCTATGGCCGGAATGAACCCTACTCCTGTTATTCGTTTCGTTTGAAAATGACACGTCAGCTTTTGGAAAGTGCAAAAAAAAAAAAGAAAAAAAAGAAGAGGGAAGAGGTGGTCCTCCGCTATGGCCGGAATGAACCCTACTCCTGTTATTCGTTTCGTTTGAAAATGACACGTCAGCTTTTGGAAAGTGCAAAAAAAAAAAAGAAAAAAAAGAAGAGGGAAAAGGTGGTCCTCCGCTATGGCCGGAACGAACCCTACTCCTGTTATTCGTTTCGTTTGAAAATGACACGTCAGCTTTTGGAAAATGTCACGTCAGCCCTCGGAAAATGACACGTCAGCTTTTGGAAAATGACACGTCAGTGTTTGAAAACGATACGTCAGCAGCAGTTGGAAATGACACGTCAGCAGCTTCTGGAAATGACACGGCGGCAGCTGTTGGAAATGACACGTCAGCAGCTGTTGGAAATGACACGTCAGCTTTCCTCACGGAAGAGAACCACCTCCCTTTCACAGGTCTAGGCAATCTGATGTGGCTGCTGAACTGCACACTGCAGGCCGTCTGTTAACAGCTGACGTCTCATTATTTCTGCATTTCTCCATAACTGGATATATTGCCGGCCGTCTGCCCCCTAACATGGCGCACCCCCACCATCTCGGTCATTTGGGCGAGGCGTGAAATAGTCCGTTACAGCATATAGTGTTTTCGAAAGAGAGAGGGGTGAGATCATACCTTCTTTCATACGGACATACTATTTTGTAAAGAGAGAATCGGGGTTGGGGACACCCTCGTCCATATATTTTTTATTAATATATCATATATTATATGTAAATATAATCACATAAAAGTGGTGCTCGCTGAACCGTAGTCCGTGTGGTAGGGACTGCTTAGACAGATGGTTTCGTCGGACTTTCTCAGACTCGTCAGCATATTTCGAGAGTCCCTATATTTCGAGACATCATCATATTCAGCCTCCTGATGAGTCGGTGAAACTCCGACGAAACAGTTTGTCACAGCCCCTCGTTTGTTGTCCTCTTCTCTCTCTCTGCCTACGGTTTACCGGGCAGTTCTGTTTGTGACGATATATATAGGGGTAGGGGGAACTAAGCGGGAGTCACGAAAACAGTTTGAAAATGCACGTGAGGCATTCCCCCGAACAAAACACACCCCCACGTGACCCTACCGGACCGGAAACCTAGCTTGTATTCATTCGACATTTTCAGGCCTTTTGCCTCGACAAGTGCATTTTCAAACTCAAACCCTGACTGCGCCGTAGTTTGTTGTTATATATATATTTTGTGACGATATATTTATCCTTCATGTTGCATATGTATGTATGTATGTATGTATGTATGTATGTATGTATGTATGTGCATGAGTGTATATGCATGTACGTATATGTTGTGTATGTATATGTACATAACACCAGCAAAATGTAGGTACACATACATGATAAGTACTGATGGTTTTGACGAAGATTCTGCGAAATTCTTAGCTCACTATTTATAAGTTGTTTGGAAGGTTTACCTACATGTATGACCCATTCGAAGAGGAATCATAGTAAAATATATCATACTTACATGTATGCATACATGCATGCATGCATACATGCATACATGCATGCATACATACATACATGCATACAAGCATACATGCATGCATGCATACATACATGCATACATGCATGCATACATGCATGCATACATACATACGTATATATGTGCGTACATATTTGTGCATACATACATACATACATACATACATATACGTAGACATAGATGTATGTATATGTGCGTACATATCTAACCTACATCCACGTGGGCGGCCTTGTACGCAAGAGGTTCTGAACAGGGGGAGTTGTAAGGAAGAAGATTAAAAAACGAATTTGTTTACTCCTTGTTTTCTCTCTGTTTTTTTTTTTCTTTTTCTTTTGCGCTCTGATATGCTTGTGACAATATACACATACGTGCGTACATACATACATGCGTGCATGGATGCATACATGCATGCATGCAGGAATACATACATACATACATACATACATACACACGTACGTACGTACGTAGATGCATGCATGCGTACGTGCGTACATACCTACATACAGACATACGAACATGTATACATTCATACATACTTGACATCAAAGTCTGCTCCTCACCCGTTCTTTTCCCCCTTCCCTCCTTCCCCTCCTCTCCCTCCCCGTCCTCTCCCTCCTCTCCCTCCTCTCCCTCCTCTCCCTTGTCTGTCCTCCGGTCCTCTACCTCCAGTCTGCTCCTCCCCCCTTTCTTTTCTCCCTCCCTGCCTCCCTCTTTCCTTCTTTCCCTCATTTCTTCTCCTTTCTTCTCTCCCTCCTCCGCTCCCCTCTCCTCCCTGCTTCCCTTCCTCTGAATTGTTGTCTCCCGCCTCCCTCCCCTCCTCTCGCTCCCTGCCTCTTCCTCCCTCTCCTCCTCTCTCTCGTTCCTTGTCTCCCTCCCTCCCTCCCTCTTCCTCCCTCTCCTCCTGTCTCTCGTTCCTTGTCTCCCTCCCTCCCTCCCTCTCTTCCTCTCTTTGCCTTTGAAGTCCTCTCACCCTTTTGCTTTGGTTGTGTCTCTGTCCACCGACGTATTGACTGTTCTGTTCAGTTTTTGAAATATGGGTGCCCACTTTACAGCCCGTCTGATTTTATCCCTCCCTCCCTCCCTCCCTCCCTCTATTTGCCTTTGAAGTGCTCTCTCTATCTTGCTGCTGTTCTCTCTATCCACAGCACCGACGTATTGACAGTTCTCTGTTCATTTTTTGAACATGTGTGCCCGCTCTGCAGTCCGTTTGATTTCATCCTCTGTCATGAGAACCACAAGATGAAGAAGGCTGTGAGGAAGAAGAAGCCATACAAGCCCACGGTATGTGTGACGTCTTTTTTTTTTGTTGTTGTTGAAAGGGTGACGACCTCGAGATATCATCTTCAAACTGTTTTTTTTTTTTTTTTTTTTTTTTTTTTTTGAAAGGGTGACGACCTCGAGATATCATCTTCAAACTGACCGGCCCTTGGTAAATTCGGAGTGGAGCATCGGCAGACCACCGTCTCGAAATGTGCAAAATGAGAATGAACTTCCCGCGAGAACATTGCCAGATGCACCCGCCACATTTTTTGTTTTTTTTTTCACATTTCGAGAGTGGTGTGGCGGGGCCCTTACTTAACTCGTCTGAGTCGATAGGGATTCGAACTGAGGTCGGTATTTCAACAGCTCGTGGGTGTACCGACTGAGCTAGGCCCGTTGGTGACGTCATTTTATTATTATTTATTTATTTATTTTTTATTATTTTTTTTCCTGTTCCCCCAAGGATGAAGATGGCCGTGAGAGAAAGAAGGAGAAATCCTCGTCCAAACCTGTTCTCGGTTGGTTGGTTCCCCCCCTCCCCTCCCAAAAAAAAGAAAAAAAGAAAAGTGCTTGGTTACATTTTTTTTGTTTTTGTGTGTGGATAATTTCTCGATTTATGCGTGTCATCCTTGCACAGCGGCTGTGCTACTTAATCTTCTCTCAGTTCTCTGTATCGTTCCAATTTTAACGGATGTCCCGAACGACTTGCTTGCTTGTTCGCTGCGCGTGCACAAGAGGAAGTGAAGGAGGGTTCTTGGGCACGGTCGGGTTAAGAGAATCTGGTCCTTTTCCCATCTCTATGAGGAAGAAGGACATAGGCTACCTTCTTTCTTCCCCCGGAATCGAACGTTCGGTCATTATGTCTGTATTTGGGACAACTAGCGGTCCAGATACAGCAAGAATGACCGCTCGTTCTATTTGGGGGAAGACGAGTAGGGCACGGTCCTGGGTCCAGTTCTGGTTCAGGTTTGGTCCTCTGAAATTGGAATGTTGGCGAAATTTCATGGAAAATTCACTTTTGCCTTGGTGTTTATATGTTTTTTTAATTTTATTTTTTCGGATTTGTTTTTTGCAGTTAGTTAGTATGGTCTCCACTCTATGAATTGGTGGCAAGTTTGATTAAAATGACCCTTTGGTTTTCTTATAAATGGCATCATGGCAAGTGGTCTGAAAATTAGGGTCTCTTCCCCCCCCCCCAAAAAAAATAAAATAAAAAAATTAGGGTCTCCGTTAACCTTCTGAGTTCGAGGTGCGTTCTAGTCCCAGTTAAGATCCGGGACTTGGGTGCACAGCCCAGGATCCAGGTCCAGTTCTTCTGCATGGGACCAAGGTTCGTCTTGGGCCCGGCTAAGATCTGGGTCCTTGGTGTTAAAGCCCAGGTTCCAGGTCCAGTTCTTTGCCTGGTCTAGTTTCGGCTCAAGTTGGTTCAGGCCCTGTTACAGGTCCTTTTTAGGCCCTGTTGCAGGTCCGATCTGGACTCTGATCTAGGGTCGTTTTAGGTCCAGTTCGTCTCCATGGGACCAAGGTCCTTTTTTGGCCCGGGTAAGATCTGGGTACTGGGTGTTACAGGCCAGGTTCCGGGTCCAGTTCTTTGCCCTGGTCTAGTTTCGGCTCAAGGTGGTCCAGGCCCTGTTCCAGGTCCGTTCTAGACTCTGATCCAGGTTCGTTTTAAGTTCAGTTCTTCTCCATGGGACCAAGGTTCGTTCTGGGCCCGGCTATGATCCGGGTCCTGGGTGTTACAGGCCAGGTTTCAGGTCCAGTTCTTTGCCCTGGTCTAGTTTCGGCTCAAGTTGGTCCAGGCCCTGTTTCAGGTCCGTCACGTTCAAGCTCCTATAGTCAATACACATGTGCAGTTCCCCTTCCTTCTTAGGGGCGAATAGGACTGGTGCCCCGTACGAGGTACGGGGATGAGCTGGGCTTAATCCACACCCCTTGTCTATCAGTTCATCAAGCGGCTTGCGCAGCTCATCGAGTTCTTTAGGAGACGTTCGGTAGATGGGTCCCACCCTTGGGAGTTTGGTACCGGGGGCTCTATCTCTATCCGGTGCTTGATTTCGCTCTCCACTACTGTCGGGGTCTCTCCCACATCAGCAAACTCTTTCAGCAACTTCTCCTCAACTGCGGGTGGGTGGTGTCTTCTCCTCCTTTTTTTAACGCCCTGTTTCAGGTTCCTTCTAGCCTCTGATCGTGGTTCGTTGTCCCCCCCCCCCCCCCCCCCCCCCAGCTCAATTTCTGGTTCAGGTTTTGTTCCAGCCTGTGTTCCAGGTTTGGTTTAGCCACAGTTCGGACCTGGGTTTAGTCCCCGTCCCAGGCCCAGTTGTTTGTCCTGCTCTAGTTTTTCTGGGGTCCCAGTCCCAGTTTGGTCCAGGCTCAGGGCTTGTCCAGAACTGAGCCTATGCCTGTTCCGTACTTTGTCCACCAGATGGACAATCAGAATCCGAAAACTGTCGATGCCTGCATGCCTGCAAATCTGTCAGTCAGAGTCAGACCCTTCTACCTCATTTCCGGTGCCGTGAGTGAGTTGGCATCTGTGCAGATTTCTGCAATTTTTTTCCTGCAGAATTTCTGCAATTTTCTGCAGAATTTTTTGCATATTTCTGCAGGATTATGCACAAAATGTTTGCAGAATTCTTCAATTTTCTGCAAAAACTGCACAGAATTTTTGCAGAATTTCTGCAGAGTTTTCTGCAGCCTCTGCAAAGACTGCAGAGATGCTAGCCCACAACACTGTTAGGCAATGGAAGACCCTTCAAGCCCCATGAAGCTGTCAGTAATTGGCAGACAGACCCCTCGGAGCAGTCTGCCTGTCAGAGCCAGACGCTTCAATGGATTATCTGCAGGAACCGAAATCTCTCTTCTGTTTAGTGCGTTGGCATCTGTGCAGTTTCTGCAGCACATTCTTTTGTTCTGTGCCGTTTGTTTGTGAAGCTGCCGTCTTCACCGAAATAGAATGCCCGGAAGAAGCCCAAGCGGGCTAGCTCAGTTGGTTGAGCACATGAGTGGTATTCAGGACGTCATGGGTTCGGCGATTTCCCAGGCCCCCGTCCGTTCGATCCCCGCGACCCCCTGTGATACACGCCTTCGGGTTCACCCGCAGAGATTAGCATGGCCTCCTTGGGCCTGAAACAGTTTTCACCTTTGGCAGTAGCCGATGCAAATCCCAGGGGTCGATCCCTTGACCTCAGCTTACCTGTGTACAGTATCTGCACAGTTCCCTGGAGTTGAACCCGTGACCTGCACGATAGCCAGTGGTAAGTAGGTCGCCGTAGGTTGTAGGCTGTAGGGAGATTCGAACTGTAG